AGGAGGAGGAGGAGGAGGAGGAGGAGGAGGAGGAGGAGGAGGAGGAGAAGGAGAAGGAGAAGGAGAAGGAGAAGGAGAAGGAGAAGGAGAAGGAGAAGGAGAAGGAGAAGAAGAAGAAGAAGAAGAAGTGTGAAGTTAATGTTGGGTGTTTCCTTACTCTCTCTCCACCTTCAGGGTCCAAAAGGATCTGTCACTGAACCCGAACCCAGACCTCACTGTTTAGCTAGTCTAACCAGCTTGCTGATTCCCTGATCGGCTTCCCACAGGATGGGATTGCAGACAGACCACCATGACCAACCAGTGTTCATATGAGTAAGGGAGATTCAAACTTCTTTTTGCTTACAAAAGCTTTGCCTGCTGAGCTAGCTTTTCAGAGTTTTTTTGTTTGTTTGTTTGTTTGTTTGTTTGTTTTTGTTTTTTACATGCTACTGTGGAAGAAAAATCACCAACAGTATTACCTAGATGCTTAATGAGCCAGGCTAATAATGATTAGCCTGGCAAGAGATGACTATTTGAGCAATATAATCATGAATGGTATGGGGGTAACCAACAGCTTTCTAATTGGATTTTTCAGGCTCACTTCACAGGAAGAACCTCATCCCAAAGCATGTGGCCGAGGAGGTCTGGCATACGCTCTGTGGCAAACTCACTACTATTGCTTTGCTAAATATCAAACTACCTTCAAATTACCTATTCTTACAAACATAGATTAGTTCAGCTTTCATCCCCCACCCCCCATCAGAGCAGATTCTCTGTGCTGTAATTAGGAAGAGTCACAGCTGGTAAAGTACAGAAAGTAATTGATCATGGTGTAGTTATCCTTAGATGAGACATCTACATTACAACACACTCCCGTACTCAGGCCAAACTAGATGGGGTGGGAAGATCCTAAGAGCCAGAGCTCAGGGAAGGCTGCTGAAAAATAGTCTCCTAGACTTGACAAGGCTTTTACATTCAAACAACTCAAAGTAACTGTAGTTGCCTGCATAATACCTGTAAGAGATCAAGCCAACCTAGCACTGTTAAGGAAAGAACTCACCGAGGCCCCACCTCAGCCTGAAAGGTGTTGTTATTGATGGCTGGAGGTGGTAAACAACTCTTTTATGGGTTTGGCTAATGATAACGTGATAGTGAACAGTGTTTACAGGATAAATTTACAGGATAAAGAAAAAAAAAAACAAAAGTGTTTTTAGCTTGTATAAGCCATGAGGAAGTTGCTTCTACCTTGAATGGACCCTGTCAGCTGGCTCAAGATGGAGCACTTCCCGGCAGAGTTGTACTATTTTTTAAAAAAATTGTAGATTGTTGCAAAATATTTCACTGCCTCAGCTATTCCTACAAGGTAATAGATCACAAGACTATACAGGCTAAGTGCTAAGCTCTGCTTTTGAATAAAACCCTTTCTTGCCTGCTTATTTGCTTGGATAGATGGCTAAAGCACTTGTTGGATGTTTGTTATAAAATCAAGCCATGCCAGCATCTAAACAGGATATGAGTTTATTTGACACCCCAAAATTTTTACTTCATGGTTTTTTGCCTTTATAATTCTTGGGCTAACAATAGCTGGGGCCTTATCTAGAAATTTTTCTCTGGTTGGATCCTGGCCAGTCTCTTTCAATAATAATAATAATAATAATAATAATAAAATATCTAAAACAAAAACTTGAGTCAGACTGGTAAATCTCTGAACAAGCCTAGAACCACAACAGAAGAATACCTCATCTCTAGTTGGAGGTTGGAAGGAACCTACATCCATGAGCATCTTGACATCCCTAATTAGACTCAGTGATTTATGGGAAGGGTGGTGGAAGAGGGAGTGGAGAATAGATTTGATAAAATACATTGTATACTTGTATGAAACTATCAAAAAATTATGTTACCATTTTGTCTCTAGAAAAAAAAAGGAGAGAGGGAGGGAGGAGAGGGGATCCTACTTATCATTTCAAAATGATAAGTAGTAGTGAACTTTTAAAACTTTGAAGGTTTGATGCTTTCTCTTCATAAAACAAAGTATTAACAATCCCTCATTAAATGATTCCTGGGCTGTTGTGAACTCAACCAATCGATTCCTAGTAATGTTTGCCTTTAAATGTCAGTAATCCCTCCCATTAGACACTCAATTTAACCTCACAGATGGACTTTATTAACCGGATAGTGATTATTATATACAAAATAAGCAGGACTTTTGTTTGCAACATAATCACTATGTCATGCATTGCCCTACATGTGAATGTTCATTGTTCAGAAATAACTGCAATTCTTTAAAAATATATATACTTATAAACTATTTAAAAATGACAGATATACATTCATATTTATTTTAGTCAAAGAAAATAATATTATATACCTAAGCAGTGTATGTATTCAAGCTTGTAGCAGTTATTAAATATACTGACACTTTCATTCGCTAAATGCGATATCCTTGAAGCTGCTTGGTAATGACAACAAGTAGGTGATTATGTGGGAAATAAGCAAGACGATGTTCATTTTGAAAGCTCTTCATATTGACAACAAAATGTGCATTTGAAGATTATTGATGGGGAGGAAGGGAATGATGTTCAAGGAGAGATACACAGTTTGACAAGAGAAGATACAGAAGTTTTGTAAGAATGTGGACATGTTTTTGTCATTTTTCTTTCAATTTTTAAATGTTATTTTTGTCATCTTCTTTGTTGGTTATCAAAGCAGAGATTAATTGACACTCTCCACAATCAATATGATCATAGATCAGCTCACCGAGGCTAGCCTATGCCTATCCAAAGAACAAAGCTTTAATCTACACTTCTCACGGTGATTGGTGATTTAGATGTCAGGATACGATAATCTCTGTCTAGGGACGTGGTTCTCCACCTTCCTAATGCTGCAACCCATTAATACAGCTCCTCATGTCAGTCATAAGATTATTTCATTGCTATTTCATAACTAATTTTGCTAATGTTATGAATCATAGTGTAAATATGTAATATGTGACCCCAGGGTCACAGATTGAGACCCACTGGTCTAGGGGCGATCTTTGTGTATGTATTTATCTTGCTGAGTTGAAGATAGGGTGCTTTTTTAAAAATGACCCTTCATCTAAGTGCACTGGGTAGAAAGATCCACTCAGAGTCACCTTTGACTTGTTCTATGATGTCATACCTGTGACTCAGACAGTTGCCATATGATATTAAGAAAGACAGCTCTAAGTACATTGATTTTCAGTAAATGATGAGAATGTTCTGGAAGGAGCCTGAAATAGCCTGCCTCTGTGTTTTGAGTACTGGGAGCTTAATAATTGGCTCCATTAATTTAAGCTTCTACCTAATATGGTTATTTTTCTTTGGAGAACGAAATATAACTGGGTGATTGTTGTTTGTGCTTTCATAAACAAGCTACTAACCAATTTGTAAAAAGATTTTTAGTTAGACAACGTTCAAGGTGATGAGACGGTTAATACCATATAGCTCACAAAGCCTAGCGGAGTCTTCTGTAACTGTGTCACAAGCCAGGGAGATGCCACAGACGGTAACGGCGCTTGTTAAACAAGTACTGCAGTCTAAGTTCATCCACTGAGCTTAGGCAGAGGTGGAAGGAGAGACTAAACTCCATAAATCAACCTGTTTTACTTTTTTAGTTTTCTGAGGCAAGGTTTCTCTCTGTAGCACTGGCTGTCCTAGAACTCCATAGACCAGGCTAGCCTTGAACTCAGAGATCTGGCCACACCCAATTGATCATATTTTTAAAGACTCCCCAGATCAAAAATTAAGTATGGGGAACAATGAAACAAACCATTTTGGACCTGAAGAATGGATATTAGAACATGGAAAATTTTAAAACAAAACAGAAATTAAAGCACACAAACATATGACCTTCCCAACATGACTCCTGGCTCTTGATCATCTACTTACTGGATTGACCAATCCAATTGTGAATCTTGTTTTGGCTTTGGCTCTAGTTACAGAGGGTGTCATTTTCTGGAGAACTGCTCAATATAAAATTCCCTGATATCATAATATACCCATATTTGAAACTATGACCATTTTAGTGATTTTTTTTTAGGTACACAAGTAGTTATCACAAATGGTTTTATAAAACAAAAAAGGTTCCTCTTGGAATAAAGACACTAAAATCCTTAGATCATGTGGCTCTAATCTCTTACTCATAGTATAAAAAGCAAAAATGGACTGGTCGGTGGTGGCCTCAGACTTTTAATCTCAGCACTTGGGGAGGCAGAGGCAGGAGGATCTATGAGTTCGAGGCCAGCCTGGTCTACAGATCAAGTTCCAGGACAGCCAGGGCTACACAGAGAGAAACCCTGTCTCAAAAAACAAAAGCAAAACACAAACAAAGTAAAAATGGAAATCATGTCACGAAAAAAAGAATAATCTTATGTTGCAACAAAATAGCATGGACAAACTGAAATGTTAAAACGATTAAAAAAAAAAAAACTTTGAACGAAGGTATAACCATACCTTCAATATGTACTGCTAGACATGAGGGAATTCATAAATATCTAAAAAATCCTGGCATATTTTATAGGTAAACCAAGACTTAAAAAACTTAGAAACCAATTCGGTGGTGGGAGGGAGTGTCTGGACCACAGCCTCATTTCTTATCGGTAGCTAGTCACACTATAGGCCAGGCTGACTGAAACTCGCAGATCCTCCTCCCTCTGCCTCAGAGGGCTAGGATTACAGGAGTGCCACTGCATCTGGCCTTCTCTGTTTGAGGTTCTGATGAGAGCAAGGGATAACAATTAGTGAGGGTAGGCAGGCGCCGTAAATGAACATTTGTAAGAATGCCCCTGCAGGGCACCAGGAATGCCAACACCAAAGTCTGCTTCTGTGCCATCTCCTGAATGAGCACCTCTGCCTAGAAGCTACTGTGACTGTGTGACTGACACTGAGCAATGCACCTGGACCCCTGGTGGTTGGGTCAACTGGACTGGCTAGCACACCTCCACCCCGCCACAACCCCTGGATTTCTTACCTCAGTGAGTCAGTCGTCCTCGAAAGAGATCTGGAGATGAGGTCCCAAAATTATACCGTCTTCAGAAGAAATCCGGAGACAGGTCCCGAAAATGATACAGTCTAAAAATAATAGAGTTTAGGGGGTCTTAATTGGGTTTAGTTTCTCTGGCAGTTAAAGAAATAAAAGGCAAGAGAATTCAGAAGGGCAATAGAGAGAAATAGCAGAGAAATCTCGAGCACCGCTGACAGACGAGCAGTTACAGGAAAGCGTCTACTTAGGGTGAGGAACACACTCGTGCATCAGACACACCGAGAAAAGGATCCTCTTGTAAAGCAGAGAGGGTGCTCGGGAAGCCGAAAACCCCAGTCTCTTCTCTCGAGTCCTGGGGTTTTAAAGCATCCGAAGAGTCTTCCTCCCCCACTTTAGGGCTGGTCAGTTTGAGGTTGATTGGTCCGAAACTACGAAACTATGAAACTACGTGTGAAATGTCCTCATCAGGCCTTGAACTTGTTGAGCCAGTTCCTCAGTAGGGATTCTCCCCTTTGCGCCTCAAAGTCATTAGGTGAAGAAGCCAGCCACCTCTGTTATCTAGTCACGGCCCCTCTCCCTATCTGGTCCATACCAGGAAGTCTGTCCAACTTTTACCCTACAATTAATTAAATCTTACAATTTAGACAACAATGCCAGCTTCTGGTAACAGGAAAGAAGACAGGCGGCCACAGACTCCACCTGGAGCTTGCTTTAAGTGGCAAAGAACTGCCCCACGGCTCACCCCAGGCCTGGGTCTTGCCCAAACTGTGGACACTGTGGGGTTGACTGCCCTACACTGCCTCTCCAAGGTAGTTTTCCCAAGTCCCACAGGAAAATCTCTTAGACCTTCTGGGTCTAGTGGCTGAGAACCGATTGCTGCCCACTGTGGTAACTGAAGACTTAACACTCCCCTGTGTGGGACTCAGTTAACCTCTGTTCACAACAAAGCCATCAAGATCACCTTCTGGCTGTCCAGGTGGCAGGTAAATCTGTCATTCTTAATTGACACAGAGGCCATTTGGTTCATACTTCCTGCTCAAATTTACCGTCAGATCTCTGTGGTGACGTTGACTCCGTGTTTTATCAGATTAGGAGCAGCACAGTGACCTTAGCCTCTCCCCTCAAGGATACAGCTGCTTAGTCAGACCATTTCCTACTCAAAATAAGCCCTTGCCTTTTCCAGAGCTTCGGTCTCCAGCTGAGAAAGGCAAGCTCACAGACACGTTTACCTGGCTGTCAGGCTTCCTGCTGAAAAGATAAACTCACAAAAACAGATTTCGATGTAAAAGCAAACTCAAGCCATCAAGCCATTACTCAAACCTTGCTTTTTACTATTCCTTTATTCAAAAGAGCATGTTTTTCAATGACTTTGTTTATCATTGAATCAAATACCCATGCCTTATAGTATTAAATATTTCCAGATAAAAAGAAAAGGTTTAAACTTTATGCAAGTTGCAAAGCTCTGAGGACGGGATTCAGAGTACATGAAAAATGATTTAAGGTATGTGAAAAACAAGACTTTAAAGATGATATATGCTGTGGAGACATGAAGATTCACTCGGTGAACTTCTGATGTGTTCATCTAAACCCCGGTAAAACACTGACTATGAAACTTTTCTAAAACATTATCATAGTCACAGGCTCAAAAATTTTAGTTTCCTTTGGTTATTTTCTAAATACAGCCTTAAAGGGGCTTCTCATTGTGATAAAAGCCATCTCTGTCCCTTTGTTTTCTTCCCTGCCAAGAAATCTCTGTCTTACTACAGATAAATAAATGTTGATGCTTCTATTATGCCGATAACTTTTCAAGCTTTGTTTTGCTGTGGCTCAAAGGTCTATTCCAACTGTTTATAGATGTTTGTTAACTGCTTTTCTACAGACAGTGGTCGTGCTATTTAAACTTTAACCTCTTTTTCTATGCTTAAAACAGTTCATGTAAACTTCAGGTGTTCCATCTGACACTGGTCAAAAGTACTAGGAGATCCCTTGCCATTACAAGCCAATATAATTGTTCCTTTTCTCTCTCCAGGTTCACTCAGCAAACCAGATCCTGTCCCCACCCCCACCCCAGCCCAGCCTTCAACTCAGAGTTCCAGCCTTCCTAGACTGCCAGGACAACCCTTCTGTCTAAGAAGCAGCTACAGAAGAGAGACACTACATCACCCTTTATCGTCAACAAAAGGCTGGAATATTAGTTCTCTCAGCTGTCCAAATATACAGAAATGAGCTCAAGCTGGACTACACAAAGATTTCTGGAGGATAAATAAAAGCCACCATTTCTCGGAAACTTTTGAAAGCAGTTCCCATCTGCCAAAAGTTGTCCTTTCCCTTACCTCTGGCAGAAGTGACTTATGGCTTCAATGACAAATACCTATACATATACTTTGATATACATATCAAAGCCCATGCTGGCCTCCAAACTCCCTCTCACAAGTACTTGTTACGAATTTCAAAGCCCCTAGACCAGTCTCTCTCACCACCCCCAACCTCTCCCTCCCCCTCCCACCCCCACTGGCTCTCTCTCACTATAACTCTAGTCTCCATTTCCCACTATTTCCAATAGTCTCTCCTGCTCTCTAGCTTCCCTAGCCCTGACCATGTCAAGTCTGCTGGCCATGCTCGGTCTACTTCTTTTTCTCTCTGCTATGAACTCCTCCAGATGCCTCTGACTGTTCTGTCTCTCTCATATCTACAATAAAAACTTAACCATATCATGAAACAATCGTGTCCGCAGTTTCTTTACTACATCCCCTCACATACAAGAATGAAACACATGAACCTTTGGAAACATGCTCAAAACACATGCTCAAAGCACATGCAAGCTGTTAGATTATGTTAGATTATTTAAGGCAGCTGTTAAGAGATGGAAGAAGAAAAGAAAGGCTTGGTCTGACCTTAGGTGGGACCATGTTTATTCACAGCGAGGAAGGGCTTTATCACTCACGTGTGCAGATGGCCAAAATGCCTTCAGAAGAAGATAGGATGAGGCCCCTTATAGGGGCGGAAATGACTTCCATTGTCCACAAGGGAAGCTGGGAAGTGTAGTCTTTCAGCAGGAAACTATCATTGCAAACTCTGAGAGAGTATAAAAAAATGCAGGGCGTGGGGGGTATAGCTATTTTTTTTGCTGAGGAGGGTGTTTGTCGGAGTGGTTGGTTCAAGGTCCATTGAAGAGGGGACTCTCTGGTCACGAAGCAAAGAGACTTAACTTGGTCAGCCACAATGGAACATTTGAATGTCATCCTCTGTTCCTGAAGAGACCTGAAAAATTATTATTAGAGGTCTGTAAACAGATTATTTTGTTTACAGAGTAAAACTGAGAGCTTTTCTAGGAAGATTGAGGAGTAGGGAGGAGCTGAGGTGAGAGAGACAGAGTGGACCAGTGAAAGTGGCCGGAGAGTGGATTCTGGGCGGCAGTGACTGGTCCCATTGCCAGGACTGTTGCACCAAAATGAGCTGTCAAAAGTAGCAGAGAGCTACAGAGAATCAAAGGAAGGGAACAGGAAAAAATAGCGGATGAATGTAGGGAATTGTGTCTGGCCTAGGATGAAAAGGATGAAGGCCTCTTTTACTTAGAGTTTCTCCGGGGTACACAAAAGGTCTTTTCGCAGATGTATCAGAAATGGATAGTGCTGTTGTAGGGTTTAGTGCTGTTTGAATATAGGGTTAAGCTCAGTAAATATAACATTTAAAAGTCAAGGTAAAAACATAAGTGTGAGGATAATAAAAAGGAATGCAGAGATCCAATACAGGGCCAGAGCGGGGGAGCCAGAGCCCATGCACAGGAGGCCTGTGCTAGAATTGTTTCTGGTCTCTATCTCTAGGCCCCATCTCAAACCAATTAGGATTTGTTGGCCTGAAAACAGCATGTCCACAAAGGAGCGCACAAACCCCACCCCAGTAGTCACATCTAGTGCTCCCTCTCAGTTTTGGAGTACAGCAGCAGTCAAGGAGTCAGGCTGGTCCTGGAAGACATTAAGCTAATCTGAGTTGGTGAGACACAGAGGTCAGTTGACACAGGAGGCTTCAATCCAGCTGTTTTAGTTCTAAGTCCAAGAAGCAATGTCCAGAGTGACAAGAAGAGGGATGACTTGATGGTCCATGGTCCGTTAGTCCCCTTTTCAAGTCACCTACACTGCTTTGAGGGGTTTGGGGACATTGATCTCTTAGTAACTGCTTCAAGGCTGACAGAAGAGCAAATAAAAGACTAGCAGGTAGAGTACCTCAAAAGAAGGTCCATTTCAAGTTGCCATGATAAAACTTAACTGCTGGCAAGGATTCATAAGTCAAGAGGTCAAACTGTACAACTTTGTGGGGAACATTAACAAAGTTATATGAGGAAAAATTTTATATCAAGATTAACATGAGTTAAATAATATTAAGTATAAAGTTAACATGAGGTTAAATGCAGTTGTATGACAGCTGAACCATGTACCAGTGTTCTGTAGAAGGAAAAGATAACTGTAATTAGCTGTTACATCAGACTCCTGCATATTGAATGAGCACCTGGAAGCAATTGTAAAAGAGGCCAGTTAGCATAACACCTGATGTGGAACAAATTATTAATTTATTAAAAATTGCAGCTGCTAAAGTGGTAGCTCATTGAACTAATCTCTTCCTTCCTTATTAATTACTTTCCTTCCTTCTCATTACCTACTGGAATTATACATCAATTTTATAGAAATTTATACATGACTTAAATCTCTGCAACTGTCATATTTGTATCTAGCTCCTTATTTACAAGAAATTATACACTTTGATAATGATGGGAAGGAAGTGTCTTTAACAACTACTGGTAAAGAGTCTATAGAAATTATCATGCCATGAGATAGAATGCAGGTTGATTATTTATTCCGTGCTGATAATAATTGGCAGGTAGCATTAGCTTATTACACAGGACTTATAGATAATCATTATCCCAAAGATCACCTTTTAAGATATTTTAACATCTTCTCTTTAAACTCATGCATATGACCTAAAATTCTACATCTAATTATCTTATAGGGATTTCTTATTAATGCTTTTATAGATGGCTCTTCAAAAGGACAAGAAGCATATGTTTTATATAAGAATTCTACATCATCCACAAAAAAGATTGTACCCATCACTAGCTGTACCCTTAACAATCTGAACTCACCATAATCACTCAGCTTTATTAGATGCTTCTCAGCCACTAAGTATGTTAACTGGCTCTGCATGTCATGTTTCTCTTTTAGAAACTGCAAGACTTAAACCCACCCCACTGATAATGTAATTTCCCTTGCTCCAGATAAGTAGACAACAATAAACTCAACCTTTCTTCACAACTCATATTCGTGCTCATTCTAATCTGCCAAGCTTGTTAACATCTGCCAGGGTCAAGCTGATGATGAGATCGCCTCTTGGGTACCCAAAAAAATCTCATAACTTCTTCCACACCACTGCCATCTGCTGGTGGAATTTTACCTCAAGGGTAAAACCTGATGCCATCTTACAAACATAGCTCATATCTCATATTTTGACATCCAAAATATGTTGAATGTTGCAGTTGAAATACTTTTTCAAATATGTTTTTTGCTTCTG